ACGACGAACATCTTTTTGGGAATCGGGGATTTTGTTTTCTTGTTCTTCCGCTGCGCATGTGATGTCGCCCCCATGATTTCCCAACAAGGTGGTTGGTCTTCGCCTATTGAAGGAAGACCGATAGTGGATGCTGGTGGCCTCGACAAAAGAGGAATCGATGGAGTGGATGTAGGTCACGACGATCGAACCACTATAAAAATCTGGTTTGCCTTTACTTTGAGCAATTTACTTTAAACTGCAAACTACCTTCTCATTACTTGCTACGCTCTTCCATACGCTTTCAATCTAAGCATATTTTCGGAATCAGTTTTCAACGTATGAAGAATTTTTAGAACCGACGTTTTACCACTGCACTAATTCAACCCCCCCCCCCTCTCTTAGTGTCAACTCTTTTCCTAATAGCAGGAAGCTTGGATTAGGGAGAGATAATTAAAGCAGGAAGAATCATGTTGGACTAGAGAAAAACATGTCAGAAGATTGGACGTCCGATGTATCGACAAAAGGCTTCGGGCATTTGGCCAAGAAGAGCGAAAAGTACACCAAGGAAATTGGAGTTACGGAGGTTAACTAGCCGATTGGGCAATAGGTCACGAGAGAGGACGATACGACGAAGAATCAAACAAAGCATCGATGAACCAATAACATGTCAGACAATATTTGATTCAAGCTTTGTAATAATTGTCTACATTGAAGTAGGTTTTAAGTGTGCAGAATTAACTAGGATAGTGATCAAGGCATAAAGCAAAATGAAGTCCTAAAGTCAAGAACGAGATTTCGTTAGGAGTTCGAGAGTTCATCGGAACTCCGAACGTTTGTCGGAAGTTCTATCAAAATTTACCGAGAAGTCCAAGAGCTTGCCAAAGAAGCTCATTAGAACTCGCTAGGAAGATTACCATGAAGTTCAAGAGCTTGCTGGGAGTCCACTGGAACATTGTCGAGAGATCATCAGAAGTTTACCGGAAGATCGCCGGAAGCTCGCTAGAAGAAACCTAGACTTACCGGACTTATTTTGCTTAGTGTATGCCTTAAAATTTGAAGTTAGCATATAATTGGTTGGAATTGGGCCAACTCAATTAGGAGCCAATTGGGCCCAAGTTTGAGCTATGTTGGGCTAGTGAAAATGCCCAAATAGTGACCCAACAAGTGGAACCGTCGTGACACAGTCTCCGAGACTATGTCAAGCGGTGGTACTGCCCAGACATAGTCTTCGAGAGACTATCAGGTGGTGGTACCACCTAGTTGCAGGGTGTCCGGTGGTGGTACCGCTAAACTGGGTGGTGATACCGCCCGTACCCCGAAATCTTGAGGATTTATATTTTGGCTCCAAGATTTGAAGTCATTTTGGGTCTATAAATACCCTAAATATTCTTGCATGGAGTAGCAAGAAAAGTGAACAAAAACTCTATGTTTCTAGAGTTGAAAACCCTTGTAAAGTGTAGAGTCCCTCCTCCTAAAGTTTAGAGACCATTCTAAGGGAGAGTGTGAGGGAAGATTTGTAAAAATGGGGTGTAAAGGTTCTCTCCTGAACCTGTCAAAAGGAGAATCGAATTGTAAGGGTAGTTGATCTTCGCTCATTGAAGGATGATCGTTAGTGGATGTTGGTGGCCTTGACGGAAGAGAAATTGGCGGAGTGGATGTAGGTCATGACGATTGAGCCACTGTAAAACTCGGTTTGCATTTTCATTCTTACAATTTATCTTTACTGCAAACTACCTTACATGCTTACTGCTTTCACTACACTTACGAACGAGATTTGAAGTTATCTTTCCGATATTGGTTTTATCGATCGAAAAGTTTTTTAAAACAGTGATTTTATCGTCTTCACTAATTCTCCCCCCCCCCTCTTAGTGCCGACTCGATCCTAATAGTTTGTATCAGAGCTACGTTCTTTCTCGTTTGGTTTAACAATCAAGAGAAATGACTCTTTTCAGATTTCAAGAAGGATTTTCTATCGTTCGTCCTCCTATATTTAAGGAGATGTACTACACATATTAAAAAACTCAAATAAGATTTTTTTTTATTTTTTAAAAATTAAAAAATAATAAATCAAAACCGAAGTCAATTTTCAAAGTGATGTAAATCGTAGCCCCATTAACAAGTAAAAACAAAAATATTGATGTTGTGAAAGGATCTCATAGAGGCACATGCTCATGCTGAGTTAAAGATTGACAAATACAGAAAGACTATCTATCTTTTTCCATCTTTTTTGAATCATCAATCATATCAATATTCATGAGGTCATCAAAGCTTATAGAGGCTGTCACTGCGATGAGACTGTCCATCTATGTGTCTGCCATTGTTACTTATAGCAGAGCTAGAAACCGTTGGTGGTTCAGTAGGCACACAAGTCACTAGCATGAAAAGCCCAATGTCATGTGCATCTGACACAAAAGCAGCGGAAGTGATCTCCGTTGCAATAGATGATGTAAAAGCCAATATCTCCTTTTGGGACTTAATGAGTTATGTGTTGATTATAATTCCTAATAGCATGATCAAAGATTTGACATTTTGAACACCTTATTGACTTCTAGCCATACTCCAACTTGATCATGCTATTAGGAATTATAATCAACACATAAGTTCCTTAGAATTAATAAGTTGGTCCAAAAATAAAGATTTTTCAATGCGTCTAACAACAATACTAAGAAACAAGTTCACAGAAGATTTTTTTATTATTCTAATCTCTATCAAAATCATCCACCATATTGATGTACACATATATATTTTTGAAAGATAATTATTTACTTTTATCAAAAGTAAAACAGAAACTTCTAAAAAGAAGAAAAACCCTAGATGATGTAAAACCCTAAAGAGGAACATAAAAGGGAAACAAAGAACATAATAATGAATAAAACAAATATAAATATTTAGTATATTAAACAAACTTATATTTTTAATTAAAGTATATAAATAAAAATGATACAGTGAAATTTTAAATATTTGGACCGATTTATTGTTCTTTGACGTGAAAATTATGCTGAATTTTCACTTCAAAGAACAATAAAAATAATAAGAACCAACAAAACACAGCTGAAGTCTCCGTTGACTCGACCGGTCTCGGCGTGCCGAAACAACTGGCAGTGCACCGTTTCGTGTTTACATTCCGAGACGGCATGGAGCAGCAAAATATCCATTCCAAGAAGAGGATATGATGATTCGAGGCGTTGCAGTGCTGCCGCGGAGCCCCTCTTCCCCTTCCCCTCTCCCACCCATCGTCTTCTTCTCCTCCTCGCTCTCCTTTCCAAATGCCACAGTCACTCGCTGCTCCCTCGCTCCCCCGGATACAGTCGACGCCTCGGCCTCCGGCGGTGGGGCCGGCGACGACCTGCTGTCGGCGAGGGAGAGGAGGCAGCTGAGGAACGAGAGGAGGGAGAGCAGGGCCGGTGGGGTCGGCTGGCGGGAGGAGGTGGAGGAGCGTCTCCTCCACAGGCCCAAGAACCAGAGGAAGAAAGCGGCCTCCTGGACCGAGGAGCTCAACCTCGACAACCTCGCCCGGCTCGGCCCCCAGTGGTGGGTCGTCCGCGTTTCCCGCGTCACCGGCCATGAGATCGCCGACCGCCTCGCCCGCTCCCTCGCTAGGAACTACCCCACCGTAGAGTTCAAGGTCCTTATCTCACCCCTTTCTTCTCCTTGAAATGTTTTCCCTTATTTATTGCATACTTAGGTTGACACTTTAGATAGTTGATATAAAATTATCAATCAGCCACCAATTTAAGGACTTAAAAGAAGGATTTTGGTTATCCTTGTCATGCGTGAACTAGGAGAATTGTAGAAAGCGAATTTGTTTTAGTTTTCTGAACACTAAAACATATAATTATTTTCTGGCTGATAAACTGAGGTGCATGCATATTCATATAATTTTTTTGTTGAACTTAATTCTTTGACTTGTGATGATGTAGGATGAAAGTAATGAGATAAGATTGCATACAACATGCCTTAGAGAACAGATCTAAAATCCATCAACGAAAAGAAAGTAAAAAAGTTTTATTTAAGATAAAACATTCTTACAATTAGATGACATATCATTTTATAGGCTCATGCAACTTGAAAAGATACGCTCTAACTTAAAACATAACTATATCCTGAAAAATAAAATCTAAAAAGCATTTTAAAACAAGGAAAATGAAATTATACTTATTTGCCAAAAAAATCATAAATAAGACAAAAAAACTAAGTATCCTTGATTTGGTATTGAAAGACATGCTATGCTAGATACCTCCACTTAAAAAAAACTGATTCTTGAGGTCACTGGTTGAACTTGTAATATTCTACTCTATAAAAACAAATATTTGAATGACAAAACAATTTAATTTGTTTTCTCAAAGGAAATTTTATATGTTTTTAACATAAAAATTATTTTCCCTGATATCATTGGGATACAATCAATATCTTCAATTTACAAAAGCTAAACTCTGATCACATCTTCATAATTTCTACCTTGATTTTGATTCAAATAATTGTCGAACTTTTTAGGTATAACTTCAACAAGAGATCTAAATGCACCTTTGCTATAAGGATGAACCTAGTTTGTTGTCTTTCCCCTTTGTTGCTTCAAATTTTGTTTCTTATAAGATTTATATCAAATGAGTACTAGTCATTGTCACGATAGAAAATTAATCCTTAAGATTTCTTTTCTTTAAACCATACTTTAGCACAATCTTTCCCTTCCTTCCTTTGTTCTCTAGCACTCTCTCCCACCAAGTTAAAGCTCTATCTTTCAATCTATGAAAATTGATTTTGTGAACCATTCTAAAGTAGCTTTATATTAAAATATTCATAAATTTTGGGTAGATTTACATCAAATCAAAATCCTTCTAGTTCCGATTGGCATTTCATCGAACACATTTGCCAAGAGCAACACTAGCTTTGATCACATACCATATTACCAATTAATTTCATCATTTTTGTCTAATTTCTGTATATTATGGTACCTATTTTGGTTTATAAGAAGAGGTTAGACAACAGGGTGGTTAAGAGTGATACCTTTAGCACATCCATCAATGTTGATTCGTGCCAACCCAAACGACATCAACCTTATAATTTATGTTCCCAAATGATTATTCAATTCTATCTAATTAGTACTTGAATCCAAGGTTCGCCGTACCGTACCGTACCGGCGTTTCGACCCGCGCTCGGTACGGTACGGTACGGGTGTACCGACCGGTATACCGAGGTGTACCGAGCGGTACACCCGGGTGTGCCGAGCACTATAGCACTGTAGCAGTGCTACAGTACTGCTACAGTACCGGAACGGTAAGAGGTGGTCCGCGTACCGAAAGTCGGTCGGACCGGTACGTACCGCCCGTACCGGGCGGTACTGTTCGGTACGGCAAACCATGCTTGAATCACAACTTACCAAAAAAAAGTACTTGAATCACTCCCCTATAAATTGAGACATCATCGACAACAATCCAGATAATGTGCACCCATGATCATTCTTAATAGGATGGTTCTAGCTTAATCATGAGTGCCATCAAAACATTCAAACTCCTACTGTGATAACACCTGGCATTGATTGGAAACAATAAACATAATTTCACATTGCAAACCCTAGAAAATAGATCTAAAATCCATTGAAGAAAAGAAAGCAAAAAGTTTGATTAAACTTGAACCATGCTTGCAATGAGATGAAATGCTTTTTTATGAGTTACATATTTTTCTTTGAAAGTAAGAGAATACCCTAGAATATTCTAATTTAAACACTTATATATCATAATCTAAAAATCATTTAAAATAAGAGAACATTTATATATGACTTATTTGACAGCAACTGGACATTAATATTGTTATGGTAGTCATGGCAATTCTTGACCTGAACCTGCTTGAAACAAGTTTGTTTGACTTCATTTATTTTATATTTTAGGTTTGTTGAACACCAAAATCAATTGAATAAAAGCCATCTAAACCTGACTTCTCAGAGTGAGTTTTATACAACTGTTCAGTAAAATATCTGAATAAGATTGGATGTTTGGAAGAATATAACTTAGTGAGTAAAGATTTTAAAATTGAGATTCATGTTTCATATGTTCTCTAGTATCTCTAGCATGGATGGTCTCAATATCAGATGAAGCTTGGTCAATCTTCATCATTTTTTCTCAATGGACAATCGCTCTCAACTTCAATCTTGTTGCTTTTAACTGTTCGGTATCTCTACTATCTCTACCATGGATGGTCTTAGTGTCAGATGAAACTTGGTCAGTTTTTATTTATATCTTCTCATAGGCAATCTCTCTTCAATCCAAGAAATTAGACTCTTGGGCAATGACACCATGCTGTCATTGTTGTGACTGCTGAATTCTCATGCTGCTTTCTTATCTTTGCCAAGCATTGTGTTGCATTTTGATATCATATCTATTACTCAAGTTCTTAACTTGAATAGATTTGGTGCAAGCTGTGATTCTATAACCTGATCATAAGTAGGTTAGGTTGGAGTTGAGAAAATTTATGTGGACCCGAAACCACTAATCAACCCTCTCTCCCACTGTCATGGAATTGCTAGCTTTACTGATGGTAGGTTTGATATGTGCTTAAAAGTGTTTATGTCATCAAAGGCAAATTGCATGAACATGTACATTTTGGCTAAACTGTAAAACAGTAAATGGATTCTAGTCATTGAACAATCTTGATATAACAGGATCAGCTTAACTGCTTCTCCTATCCACTTCCTACTTGTAAATTTTTGGTCAGATACAGTCACTAATTTCCTTGGGCACATAGAACACCACATTGCAATCATGTCTGCATTTTATACAATTCCACAAATAATGATTGAAACTTAGTTCAGTCAGTTTTGATCATTGTCATGAATTTCACATTTTCAGATGTTGGATCAAGGACATTTAGTACTGAACTGTGATCTGCATGTGGTGCGACTTGTTGATTTATTTGATATCAAGCTTTATTGTTCCATTCGTCTTTTGTTTTCTTGTAGTCATTTTTTAAAATTTTGTGATGCTTCCATATTGCTGACAACAAGTCTAGTAAATGATGAAATTGCCTTGATTTAATTTGCGACTATACAAAATTTTCTGCAGGTTTATTATCCAGCTGTTCGAGAGCAAAGGAAACTAAAAAATGGTTCTGACTCTGTGAAACTTAAGCCCCTTTTTCCTGGTTGTGTCTTCCTAAATTGTGTTTTGAACAAGGAGATTCATGACTTTATCAGAGAAATTGATGGCATTGGAGGCTTTGTAGGGTCCAAAGTTGGAAATACGTATGTTGAATCATTCCTATCAAAAGTTTATACTTGAAATAGTATTACATGATCTCTGTTTATTCATGTCATGGATAGTAGGAACATAATGATAAAGTGAGTGACTTTTTGGTTTGCTTTGTATATTGTTTTTGACTAATTCAGTTTTGCATATATGTTTGATAATGAGTCCTTGAGGGCTTTGTAATCATGGCACATATTTTATTTGCCTTCCTAAGTTGTGCTTATTCATCACCTTATGTTGAAAACATGCTGTATTTTGATCATAGACACCTAAAGCTTGCCACATCAATTCAGAAGTCACTTACTATCCTATCACATGATAGGTTTATGATACCTCAATTGTATATCTAAACCACATTGCTTTTAATTTGTATTTTAATTTTTCTTTGTTCTGCATTTTCTTGTATTAATTTATGTTTGCTTTGTACACTCATGAACTGCAAATGCCTATATCTTCAATTGTCAACCAAGTACTAGTCATCAAGTCAAATTTGCAAAGCCTTCTCTTTATTGACATGAAACTAGCACCTTTTTCGTTCCTGTGATCTTTAAAAGCAACAGTTTCTTACCAAGAATGAAAAGGAGAATATTGCATATCTTGTTTAGACCGTACTAGCTTCAAGACTTAATTATATTTTGAATAATCCTCCATGTTATGTGAGTTAACACAGTTGTGCTAGTATGTATCAGGTGGTATGCCTGATTGGTATTTATCCTCATATAATACAAATATTGATAAATTATAGATCAAGTAGTGGCATACCATGATACTCACCACTTATTGATATTTAACTATTTTGTAATAATTTTTATTCCATAGCAACTTGTATCAGTATCATATCAACTAACTATTACCAGTCTACGGAGTTCCCGTACCAAACTAACGTGCTTAGTTACAAATTTGATGCACTAATAATATTAAGCAATCAGAGTTCTGACCCTCTAAATTCTATTCCTATGATCAATCAGATACTGAACCACTGCATAATGAATTATTGTGCTTAAGCTTCAAATTCAGCTACCTTTTGTACCAAATACCAAATGCCACTAGATATTTTGTGCTTTCCTGCCTAATAGATGAGTGGAATGATCTTTCTATTTCTGTTGTTCATTATAGGTGGAACTTGTAGCTCACAAAAAGAGAACCATGTACAAAAAGGATCCTAAACATATGTACTTGTGAAGTTATTGATCAAAGACGGGAATAGATAGTCAGCATACTGCTCTATCTTTAAGTATCTAATTACTAAATGTGGAAATAAACTAGATCATGGCTTCAATGTTTATGTCCTCAAAGTTGCAAGGTGACGTGATCAGTTCTTGTTTCTATAAGGTTATTGCTATTTTAACTGCTTGGAATTGATAGGAAGCTAGGTGAGGTCACAAAGAGAGTTCAGATATACTGATAACATGTTTTCCATATAAATGATCTTTTCTCTTCTTTTTTTGTGAGAAATCATGTCGATAATATTTGTTCTATCTTTCCCAGCAAAAGGCAGATAAACAAACCAAAACCTGTTCCAATGGAGGAGATGGAAGCAATATTTCAACAAGCTAAAAAAGAGCAAGATAATGCTGTCAAACAATCCAAAGATCAACAGCAGCAGAATGTTCTGAATGGCTCTGTAGATAGCATAAAATCTGCCACAAAGACTAAGCCTAGCAACTCAAAGAAAGGTTCAAGGTATTCTGAAAGTAGCTTGGTGCATTTAGAGGATCATAAATCTCTTGCACCAGGTTCTAATGTTCGCATTTTGTCTGGGCCGTTCTCTGAATTTACTGGCTGCATCAAGGAGGTGAATCTTGGAAGTGGAAAGGTATGTGCCTGTGTGGATGATTACAAGTCCACACTAAATTTACCGTATCAAGTAAACTGCCTGTTCCATTATGACCTTAACAAGAGTAAAATAAGCTAATGCCACAAACAAAAGGAAAAGGTAACAAGGGCCATTTTTCTGTATGTTTGTTTATTTTAACTGCAGTACTCTTACTTTTGTGAGGGAACTTTGACAGCATATGACATATTCTAATCCTTCATGCAGGTTACTGTTAGCTTGCAGTTGTTTGGCAAAGATAACTATGTGGATCTGGCGATTGACCAAATTGTTTTAGAAGCTTCATGAGGTTGGAATTGGACCTTTGCTGTTGGTCCTTCATAGTTACCTCTTTTTGACTTCTTCTCAGGGTATTATTTTTTGAATTAATGGATGAGCAAAGCATTATAAATATCTTAGTTGTATTGGCAAATATTTGCATTTTTTGTTTAATTTATGTTGTGATTACACATCCCATAAATCTAGGAACTCAAGCAGAGTAACTTTGACGTCAAATACTCAGCAAGTAGATCCCTACAATGTGGACCTAAGGCAAATGTAATCCTTCCTGCTCGCAATAAACTGTTTCTGCACAATGATAACTTTGTAGATGAATAAACTCTCATTTCCATTTATTTCTCTCTGGATGCTATTTTTGCTATTCTTACAATTTAAATACATATGTGGATCCGAATTCCTTATTTCCTTCATGCTTTTCCTAGTTCTCATTGCAAGAATTTTGTGAAGTATTTACTTTTGATGGTTTTTTTCTTTCTATTAACACGAAAGATTAGTTAACAAATATTTTTTCTAAACTACTAAGTGAGAAACAGTTTGATTTTATTAGAAGAGAAGTTTGATTTTATTAGAAGAGAATTATGTATATTGAATCTTTTAAATGTATGAATCAAGATCTTTTACCATTTGTTCTTATATGATTCTTTCTTCTTACTTAAGAGGAGATTTATCCAAATGAATCATGATTTTTCATTTAAATTCTTGATATTCATGACTTAATATTTATTTTGTATGAATCAAGAATTTTTACTTGATATTTATTTTGTATGAATTAAGAATTTTTACTATTCGTTCTCTTATAAATTTTTTTTTTTTGCTAATGACTAAGAAAGGGATAAACAAGTATATCATAACCTTTCAAAATGGTATATAAACAGGCAAAGTTTAGTTAAAACTTTGTCATCAATTGATTGTCATCATAAAAAAATGGGAGATTATTGAATCTCATATTTTGATGATGAAATCAATTGAAGAGTTTATGAACTAATATGCTTTTGAGATAAGTGACGTAGGATTTTGATAATGAAATCAATTGATGAGTTTACAAACTAATATTCTTTTGAGATAAGTGACAAGAAATACTTTAATCACAGACTCGAACCATCAAAGAGTAAATTGTTGAAGTAGGAGAATTAAACATTGTGCCTGGAAAAGTATTATATCGGAAATTAAACATTAAGCCGAAGGATTGGTCGACGTGTTGAAGATACTTCTTGCTGTAAGTTCGGGCATTATGCTAGAAGGATCGAGTATTGCACAAAAAGATTGGATGTCGTGCGAAAGTTGACATGCTAATAAATTAAGCGATATGCCAAAGGGAAGGATGATATGTCGAAGGTTTGAACAAAGTATCAGAAGATCGGACGACATACCAGAATGGCGTACAATGTGCTGAAAGCTTTATAATTGTGCTGGATACGTGGTTGGATTATTAAAATCTTGATCGAGGTCTTTTTGGATCAAATTGAGTTCGTATTAGGTTGAAACCATGCCAACTTGTCAAGGAATCCATTGGGCTTGAACATGGGTCGAATTAGGCCTGTTATAAGGCCAAATCGGTGATCTAAAGTAGGCCTAAGTGGTGAAAAGCGGTAGTATCGCTTAAGTCAGTTGAAAAGCACTATTTATACTTTTTTGATAATTTTGTCAGTAGTACTACCCATGCTGACGGTAGTATCGCTTAAGTCAGTTGAAAAGCACTATTTATACTTTTTCGATAATTTTGTCAGTAGTACTACCCATGCTGACGGTAGTACCACCCAAGGTGATGATAGTACTACCTAGGCCGATGGTAGTACTGATATAGCCTTGATTCGTGGCCTTGTTATAGCAGTACTACCGCCCGGTGCCTGTGGTAATATATTTAGTATCCCAAAATTTCGGGGATTTGAATTTTTTGCTTTATTCTTGAAGTCTTTTGAGGTCTATAAATACCCCACTTATGCTTATTTGATGGAGTACAAATGTTTTAGCACAAAAGTGTTGCAAACTCTCTCTTTGAGAAGTGTACGAGTCCCTTCCTCCTTTTTTAGTTTAGAGGTGATTCTAAGTTGTAGGAGGTGAGAGATTTTATTAAAGAAAGAGTGTGAAGGTTCTCTCCTGAGCCTATTAAAAGGAGAAAAGCTGTAACAATGATAGTTTGATATTTGTCTATTGGAAAGAAGATCGATAATGAAAGCCGGTGGCCTCGAGGGAAGAGGAATCAGGAGTAGACGTAGGTCGGAAAAACCGAACTACTATAAATCTGTTTGCATCCCTTCTCTTGCCTTTGTTTTGTTATTACTTATTGATTTACTTCACTCGCTATCCTTACTTGCACTTTTGGTTAAATGTATTTCTCATACAGATTTATCGATCTAATATTAAAATCGTATAAAATTACTATAACACTAATTCACCCTCCTCTTATTGTCATTACGATCCTAACATCCCTCTCTATTTTGCCTACTTTTCTTATTTACTATATCCTTTTGCCTTGTGGATACTCATTCTCTTCTATTATATTAGTTCTAGGATATTTTTATCCTAGAATCACCTCATGGTGTTAAGTCTTTTCGGATTGAGTGGAGCTATATATTAGTAGTTTAAGGCAAGGACCATAATCTCATGTCGATTGATTCATATTATTCTTTGGTCGTATCGGTACGTATTGATCGGTATATTAGTACGTGTCAATAGGTATAAAAACCACATGATATGTTGGTACATGTCTAAAGATCCAAATATAGGGCTAAAAGATCTTCAAAAATACCTAAAAATTAAGAAAAAAAAATATAAATTATGATGTTTTAGTTAGAACTTAATGTAATTAGTTTAATTTCAATAAAAATATATCTAAATAAGGAAGAATTAGTGGATTTATCATTTTTGGACGTTGAATAGTAGTTGTATTAGAATTGTTCTTTCGTTTATAGTGATAATCTACAAATATATGACTTGAAATGTTAGATTATGTATTAAAGCCTTGAGATTTACACAAATCAAATAATGAAGGATTAATTATTGGATATATTTGATTTTGCCACCCAAATGAATAATGAGACTCTATAGCCGATGATTCGAGATTTTTGATCCTATGTATTTGTATATTGATATGGTATGTCTATTGGACTTAATCTTAAAATTTCTCTCGTAATATATGATGTATTGATAAGCGGTATATCATTGGTGGTTGCTTGATCGTCTTGAACTACATATGTTCGAAAAGTCTCTTGAGGCAATTATGATTATGACATGTATAGGTGAGGAGGTGGAAGGATGTCGGAACTTTCACTATTGTCACTAACTTGCTACTCTATATCATAAAAATGATCAAACTTAGAGAAGAATGACCAACTATCACCGTACTATTGTTACTCATATAATCCTCCATAATATGATGAGCTCTGCTTAAACTTGCTACTCTATATTCATATCATATAGGCTTTAACACATCTACTTAAAGTCATCGACTACCTTTCCCTTCCCTTTCTATATATAAACATTCTTATATTATTTACATCATATGGCTACCTCCTTGGGCTCCATGATTTGGGTGGCATATTTAAAATATTATTCCTCGGTCTATGCACCACTTAAGGTTGAGTACATGAAACTATTGATTTCTAATCATCGTCGCCGTAACTAGTCGAAGCATTGGTATTTACGTCACCGCTATATCTACGGATCGAAGGGAGCGTTGAATTTGATGAAGATATCTTGTCGCTTGATTGAAATTGTTGCTCCTTCATTCTTTCCAATAGATCGACTAATACTGTTGCATTCTCTTTTTCCTTTGCATGCTAGGCGGATGATTGTGATTGTTAGGTATCATGACCTCGACTAGTTTGACTTGAGGTTGTTCGGCTCTTATTGTTATGTTTTGACTGAGGTGGATCTTCCTCGTACTGGGGATATTATTCCTCTTTCTCTATTGCCTTAATGATAAAATAAGAAGGATGTAAAGATCTCCTATCTCTACAAGTAGAGAATCCCCTTAGTTCTCTATTGTTTCAATCCATTCCGGTATCAATTGAGAATCTTCGTTATAGTATTGGAGGTCGAAATGATCAATCTCTGGTTCCTCTTGCTCTTTATCGAGCTCGACATATATTATAGTGCACATATACGAGTTTCTCCAAGCATCTATATGATAGTCTATTGTAGACCTTCTTATGAATCAAGACGAACATTGACTAATTACATTTGTAACCACTTAATGTTATCATTTGTGAAAGTATATGGGCCATAACCTTTCTTAAATTGGATGTGGACACTCTAAATTATAGCCATCACTTAGTTGTAAAAAATATATAAATTACATTTCATTAGCATAACAAATCACTAATATTAATTTTAATTTATAATTAAAAATTAGTGTGTAATCTTTTCTTACTATTATCTTACTATTATACAATGACACAATATAGCTATATTATCTGATAATGATCCAACACTTTTTCGGAATATAAACAACCCTCTATGATAGCATAGGTTACATCAACACTTTTTGAGAAGAGTTGATATTATAACATTCCTTCACACTTGCAACAAATCTGATTAGGTTCTAAGACTCTTGTCGGTAATATGTTGGAAGACAAATGATTTTGTCAATATTGAATTTTTCATACAATGAATATTTATATTATAAATGACTATGAATTTGAATATATTTGTATTGTGAGTATCTTGGTTCATATGAGCTTAGATCTTAGTTCGATGATCTGTAAATACTAATCAGACTTCCTTCTTTACCTTCTCTCTCTGGTTGGAAGCAATATATATCTAAAATAGGATATCTATAAATGCTTTTCTATATTGACCTGATAGGGGATAACATATAGTAGTTCGATTGGTGTTATGATTTCATTCACAAGCTTCTATAATCTATATCATAAAATCATCTTTTCTATTTTTTTGCCATTCGGAATCTAACCATTTTTTATGTAACTATTGCTTTTAGACTATCTTTTTTGCTAAATAGACTTTAAACGATGAAATTTATTACAAACTAAATAATAGTAAGTCGGAGTATCTCTCTATTTATAAACTTTTAGAGTACACCCAATAACGATTATAGATAAAACTTATTGTGGCCTATGCCCTTGCTACATACATTTTTGACTGTTGCTAACTCAGTCCATGCAATAAGTAACATTAAGTCTAAAACAAGCTTCCTCTTTACTCTAAACTATAACATGGCATTCTTGAAATTAGCTTCATTATCAATCACAATCTGCATAATATACTATGGTCTAATCTCTTCTACTATGGTGTCCATGAGATTCTCAATATAGTTTACATCATAAATTTTGTTTGAA